ACACTTATATCATGCTAATTTAAATCTCGCTTGTTTAATCGACTCGTTGCTAAAGAATTTGTACTTCGTTTTTCTTAGTTAATGCTTCCTCTGACATACGAAGAATAAGGCCATCTGGTTGCTTGTCTTCATGAAGAATGCCCTTTGGTTGTAGTTTTCTAAAACTTGGTCTTGGTTGTCTTTGGCGTCCCACTTGAGCACAATTATACCACCCCAATTCTACTAAGCCTTCAACTGTCTTCTCTTCACCTCGCTGACTTATCTTCGAATCCTTTCTTATTCTTCCTGTACCTGCGAATAGGATGGATGCTTCTGTGGCTGCAAACTATCAGCCAGTGATAACTAAACATATATGAATTGTCAGTGTGCCGATGGCTTCCTTCATCCAGTGTTTTCCATGAACCACGTCACCAATAACTCCGTGGAATTCCCAGTTCTGGAGTAGTCTTCACCCTTATATCCCATAACATTGTACGTATACATCACTTCTTATGCACAATTTGAGTAATTTAATGACATATTTGTGCAACTTGTATGGGATAAAGCGAAGGATGAGGCCATTACTCTAAGTGGCATTAGGGAGTCATCGCTACACATGTTTTTGCTCCAGCAATGGTTGGATTGTATTATCCTTCGTGGGACTATTTTTTCCTTCATCACACACAAGAGCCAGGATTGCTCTGAAAAAAGTGGAAAAGTAGTTGGACATAAGACATAGAAGGGTAAATACTTACTTAGATACTTGGACGGTCCGTCTTCACGAGTTGTGCGGACCCGGCACATTTGCCATTTCTTTCCCTTGCAATCTTCGTCCATGACAGTGGTGTTATTCGAGCATGGTGGCACATGTGAGTCTCAGAATGTGATTTGTAAAACAACTGCAGCTTCGTGTATAGCTGATTAACTTTGTTTACGAAGACGTCCGCTGGTCGTATAGGTGGTCGTCCCTGGTGACGCTTGCATTCTTGTGGAGTGCACTCTACTGTTCTTTTCGTTCTTCTCTCGTTTGTTCATCTCATTATGTTTCTATGTTTCGCTATCGATGTATATTCTGGATCTCGAAGATGTGACAGATTTTGAAGGTCAGAGCTTCGCATTCCGGGTATATATAGAGAGTGCCGGTTATATTTCAGAAGACATCGCTCAAGCACTCTGGGAGTAGTGCGAAGCATTCCTAACGTGGTTGAAGTATCAACCCCACGTCTCTGCAACATAACAGAGCGCTGAGAAGACCGTAGAATCAAAGAGATGAGCGCGGATTTTCGGGTCCTTCAGTCTGTCGGTGGCTTCTTTGAGAGGCCCGAATGTGGCCCAAACTGCTCTCCTTCTATCTAGTTCCTCTTTCATGTTACCTCCGCATCATGAGTTTTTCATGAACTGGATCTTCCTCCGAGTTAAGCGTAGTTCGATCGTTTTTCCCACTTCGTTGAGCTCATTGGTCATCGTCTCTGTTTCGCTAGTACTTCTTGAGATGACAATGTCGTCGCCAAAACGAAGATTTGATAGGAATTTTCCACTAATACGCATGCCTTTCTCATCCCAATCGAGTGACTTCATTATCCATTGCAATGCGGCACTAAACAGCTTTAACGATATCGTGTTGTTTTGTCGAAACCCTTTCCCTATGGGTGTGGTAAAAGGTTGGTGGGAAAGCTGTATTTTCGCGGTGCAGTTCTGATAACAGTCAGATAGATTTCTTATGTAGGACGGGTCTACTCCTTGGCCGATGAGTGCTGATACGATTACATTCGTTTGTCAAACGACACTGTCAAACGCTTTCTCATAGTCGAGTTAGCACTAAAGGCAGGTGGTGTTCCCGGCAAGCTTCGATGACCCTGGACACAGTTTGGATGTGGTTCATACAGCAAAATCCTTTTCGGAATCTTTCTTGCTCTACTGATTGCACCTCATCCAATGTCCTTGATATGCCCGACAGGATAATCTTCGTGAAGAGACTGTATAGAACACTCAACAAGTATATGGGACGATAGTTACGAAGATCCCTTCGGTCTCGTTTCTTGGGCAGGATGACCGTGCGCGACGTCCTCTACTGGTCTGGGATTTTTTCCTTTTGAAGGTAGAGTCGCATATGATTTGCTAGAAGTACATGTAAATTGTGGCTTCCATGTCTAAGGCAGCCGGCGGTGATATTATCGAGTCCTGGAGCAGTGCCTCTTTTCATGCGTTCTATCGCAACTCGAACCTCCAACAGGAGAATTCCAGGTGGCTCTTCTCCAGCGGGGATATTAGGGTCCGGGACTGGGATTGTGGAACGAAAAAGGTTTGTGTAGAACGTTTCCGCTATTAATTCCATATTACGGCGGGAAGTTTTAACGATTCCATCTCCATTCATCAGGGCTGTCAGCGGAACATTATATTCACAAAAGTCCCGGCGGCCTTTTTTTCAGACTGCTTCTTTTCTCTGCTGCCTCCAATAGTTTCTTCTGCTTGTACCGTTGTAGATCTTCCTGAAAAGCTCTTCTGCAGCTGGCATTTGTTCCATGCCGTTTAAAACCTGTTGCAGTAGGATCAAGCCTCAGTTCCCTTCTCTTTTCGAGCAACTCCTTAGTAGTGATGAAGATGCGATCCGATCTTCTTGTTTGAGGAACTGCGGCGAATTCGGCACAGCTTTTCAGTCCTTCGACAAGCAGTTCGTAGTCTTCGTTCGGATCTTCTTCAATATGCCAGTCACTTTTGGATAGGATTTCGTTCACATGTTCTCGTCGTATACAGCTATACTTTTTCCTCGTAGTCGTTGAAGTAAATTCTTTTCCAGTTTACAGCTGAATCGAATTTTTGCGTGAAGAAGGCGGTGATCGGAACCAGCACAGGATGACAGGGCTACCGATGTGTCAAGTAGCGCCATCTTCTGTTTGTCACAATGTGGTCAATCTCCGTCTAATTCATGCCGTTAGGAGACTCCCGTGTCCAGCGGCGCTTTTCTTTCTTCTGAAAACGAGTCTCCATCGAAGCGGCGTGTTGCAGGCAGGAGACCTACCAGACGGTTCCCATTCTCATTTCTTTCTCCTAATCCAGGTTTTCCGATTCTGTATTCGTTCCCGTTGGCCTTTCCTCTTCTGACGTTGAAGTCTCCGACAACAAATTTATGATATGCTTTATTATTGGGGATGACCTTTTCCAACTGATAGTAGAATGCATTTAATTCGTATTCATCAACTGTGTCGATCGGTGAGTAGCAATTGATGATTATGATCTTCTTATGACGCGACAGTTGAAGACGGAGGACGGCTGTGCGAGGGGAAAGGGTCACGTATGAGTCGACAAGATGGAAAATGGACGGGTGGACGACGAAGCCAACGCCACCGACATTTCGTGACGGGACCTTTTCTCCGCGGATCACAAGGGTCCCGTTGTTTAATTGGCTTATGTCGGCCCTCTTGATTTTTGTTTCTTGTAATGCGATCACACGAAATTTAATGCGACCTGCGCCTACAACGGCGTGAAGACCGGCGTCAGTGGAGAGTGTTCTGGCATTATACGTGCGTAGTAAGAAACAATCTCCGTGGCGTGTCGTGCCTGTGTTCGTCAGATTCGGTTCCAGTGTTCTGCGTAACCCAAGAGCTCGTCGCCTCTCACTGGTCGTCTCACCGCCTGACGTCGTAGACAGAGCCCAGTGTACGGGGTACCGAGGCTGGTCTATTGCTGGTGATTGCAACTTGGTCCTCCCTAGAGTCCTTTCTTAATCTTGCAAGGGCGTATTCAGGTCTTCACCACGATGTTGATCAGGGAGACATGTTTTCAGCGGTGACCCCTTCGCTCGATATTCCTACTAGTTGATTCGGAGACATTTTGAAACTCAAACCTGGGTAATTAAACCTGTGAGAAATGCATGTTCTTGATGTTTGGAAAAGTATAGAGCTTAGCGTTGTTTAGCCTAATGACTACTACTTTTTATTGCCTTGATGTTAATTGGTACTAGTGGTATAATATGTAGTATTTGTATATTCAAAATTTTAATGGTTTGGCAGGAAGATCATGGAACAGATGTTTCTGTAGTTCCCATTTGGGATTGGCTGTGCTCGTTTTCTAGTGACAGAAGGTGATGAGGGTCAAATCTTCGTTCGTCAGAACTCCACGAAATTGTAGTACTGGTATTCTGGATACCAATTTTTCGTTCTGCTTTATTTTTGTTCTCTTTATACCACTAGTCTCCAAGTGTTATAAGTTGTTTCTCGTCTTTGTTCACTTGTTTACTGTGAAATAATCACCAACCAAATGCGCAGTTGACATTGCGTTGCATTTCGGTTTCCCTCGTTTAATTCCAGTTTGAAGGTAATGTGTTTTCGTAATAGTGAGGACGTAAACATTAGGATTGGGCTAATGAGTTATGTTGCCTTAAAATTAAATTAATTAATTGCTTTCGTAGCTGAGTTGTTAAATTATTTACTTACATACCTAGTTGGATTTTTGGGTGTGCCATCTTTAGAACTCGTTGAAGCTCTACGCAGTTTTCTTAATTCCTCGTAGTATTTATGATTGAAGCACTTTCCAGTTTGAGAAGTATGTTTACATGTTGTTTTAGACGTAGTCTATGTTTATGTTGTCTGTTCAAGACAGAATCACTTTTAGTTGAAGCATGAATACAAGCTCATGGACGAGAGTGGACCAGCTCACAAAAAAATGTTTACTGTACAACTGTTGCTAACGCCAGAAGAAGTAAGCGTTTTTGCGGCCATCTAATTGGGTTTAGTATATATCTTCTTATAACATTTTGGTCTATAGATGTACATTTATAGATTTTCGAGGGTAGTGGAGCTTCCATTAAAAAAGCACAACAAGCTGCTGCCGCTGCAGCACTTGCAGGCACGTCACTTGCAATGCCACCTGAGAAAAGGAAGAAGAAAGGTATTCAGATGTCAAGTTACAGATAAGAAGTGGAGTGCGTCTAAATTTTTTTCACTGCTAAGGTCTCACTACCATTACTCATTGAATATATCAAAACGAAATGATAGCTAATTTTGCAGCTGTGGGCTTTCTTTCATCCAAAGTCCATTCAAGTAAGTGTGTAGTTTTAAAGCAAACACTTTTCGAATTCATGCGTCTTTGTAACCATGGCGCAAGAATACTCATCTTTAACAAGAATCCAAAAAACCACAAATAAAGTAAACCTTGCAAGATCTTTTTTATGAGGTTGATGAACCACTATGAAACATTCTTCACCTGATGCTTATCATTGGGTCATTTCCTCGATGAAAGTTTTTCCAAGCTTTTGGTAATGAAAGAAAACCACAGTGTGCGTTGATTGTAACATGATTTTGCATCGCATTAAATCGTTCGCGATTCTCTCTTGAAGGTTGAAGACGTGACTTTTTTCAACATCTTAAATATGTGAACATGTGCATTCATTTTTTTCGACCTTGTTCACTTCTACAATTATTGCAGATGCGTTAAAGTAATCGATTATAAAATCACCGTATTTTACATAACGGTTGCCGGTGCTTGCATTCTATTGCGCTTAATAATCTACTTTCAAACATCATTAGGGTAGTTTATTCAGTTCACTTCATATTTTCGTGAGAGCGAGAGTTTTTTGAATTAACACTGAATTTCTTTATGATCACACTTCGTATTGTGCAGGTTTCGTTCATGTTACATAATTGTGTGGGTGCTTGGACATTTGGTATTCAAGAATATACAAGTCTAGTACAGCTTTCTATTGTAACTTTCAGTTGGTATGATCTACTTCATTCTTGGCCATGCACCGCTCATTTCGTGCCATCTTTAATATGAAATATGATTTATCCCTTTACCGATTTTCTGTGATGTGTACGAAGTTAAGGTGTACAGCATTTTCGATTTTCCTTTATGATGGGTGTGCTCATTATCTTAGAGTATGTTGGACTGCTATTCTTGTGCAGTCATCGTCGAATTTCTCTACTATATACCTTGTTGAACTGCGATACATATTCCACCACAGCAAAAAGTCATATTTGTGGATGATCTGAATCGCGAGTTCTGCCTCAATTCTGGTTGCGCTGATGGTGCCCAAAAGGTATTAGATTAACGCTTTTCCAGTGTTGTTTGTACAGAATTCTAGTCCTAATTCAGAGCTCAGTTTCTGTTATTTGTTAATTCATGTTTCAGCTGCAAAAATAGTTTGTAAATTTCTGGGAAAGCAGTAAATCGAAACAGATGAGAGTCATTGTTTTAGTTCGCAAAATAGTTGATATTTTTGACGGACTGCGCGATTCCTACACTAGGCTTTACTCTAGATGGTCCTTAATTTCCAAAGAGCCTTTTTGTAACTCGCACCTATGATCTTAATATTTATTGAGCTGCCAATCTCAATTCGTTTTTTGCACAGAGTCCTACTGTCGGTTTTTTCCTTTTTTTTTGTTTTTTTAGTACTTTTTTTTACCATCGCTGAATTTGTCTGCTGTTTAGAAAAATGATGTTGTAAACGAAATGAATATAGATTCCCATCAACATTTGTTCCACTGTGGTCTACGTCTACCAGCATCGTACCCTGCTGATTCATGGCATATAAAGAACTGATATTGTGACTGGTTAATGTGAATAATATGAAGTGCAACCATCTCCGTCCAGCTTGTGTGTAGTTCCTCTTTGAGAACACATATATCAACTTGGGGATCGATTAATCATCCTTATCGCTCATTTACAGACTTTTCTCGTCACGTGCCAATCCCACTTATCTTTTGCTTCCGTTAGGCATTGTGGGAAAGATGATGGAAAATGATGCAAATATTTGTGAAAAGTCCTTTATACTCCCTTAAAATGTGCAACATAATAACTTCATATGGAGATCTTTATGAAGAGTCTAACCTTCCCAAAGTTTTACTCTGCTTTTCACATGGTTTAGGATCTTTTTTGAGAAAGATCTCGTGTTATGTACATTCTATTAGCACGTTATGTAATCTCCAAGAAGTCAGCCCCAAATGTGAGCGTCCACTTTTGTTATCTAAATACAAAATCTCTTGAGGTTCTGCGCTTGTCTTCGCCATTTATTGAGACGTAATCGTTCAGACACAAGTTCACCACCTGTTCTTCTTTCCCACGTGGCTCGCCGACTTGGTCTACCGGAACCTATTTACCGGTCGCATTCTCATTCCAAGAGCCCTCATTGCGCAGCACCTGTAGAGGTACCACAATCGTACTTGGTTTGCAGTGGCAATGTTTTCTAGTGATTGTTTTGTAGTACATTCGTGACACGGTTCTAATAAGCATCAATTTTTCAAGATTTATGGTAGTGTTTATGTACATATATATATACATTTTATATATATATATATATAT